ACCTGTAAATCTCGTTTTATACCTCCGTCAGAAACTACTCCGACCATACCTTGATTGCCACTTGTGGATTTCATTTGAACCTTTAAGTTTCACAGAACTTTCCTTTTAGGCTTCAGAGCCTTTAGCTAAACTTAATTGAATAATCGCAAGATACCACTCATCTATTACATTATGGCTGTTTCTGGAATTGTACCCCATCTAACATTGCTGTGTTGACTGCCAGATACGAAAAACCAAAACCATATTTGGAAAAATGGAAACGTACACCTGAACTATGCAAGACAACTCCTTCAGGCAAGGGTAGCAATGTTCGTCTCTTATAAATACTGTTTGAGACATTGAACAACTATGAAATTACAACCAGACTTAACAACTGTGTTAAAAATTGTGTGTTGTCGTTGCTGCTCGCAAGCGTGAAGTTATCTACCTTCAATCCAACCACGCACACATTCCTGTGCCACTCCCTATTCAAATTACCCGCCCTTAACCACTCTACCGTGTCTCATTTACATATCAATGATAAAGCAGATTTATTCTAATTCGTCCCGGTACTCAACCGAATAAATCAATATTTCAGGTCGATCTATTGAAGGGGAAATTCCCCTGTCATGTGATGGCATGTCTGACTGGCACTGGCATGTCTGGAATGTCGGAAATTATTTCCGTTTTGCTGGCTTGGCATCAACCCTAAATACAAACCATAAAACAACACCTCCCATTTTACCTGCACATGTGTAGGTGTAAAATTTCCCGCCATTTCACCTGGTTGGCAGCATGCCACAAAAAATTGTTTAAAAAAAAAAAAAACTGAATTAAAAAAAAGAAAAAGAAATTGCCAACCCAGCCTACAGGATTGTTACGCAACCAACGACAGACCTTTCATGTACATGGGCATGATGGGTCACCTCCCCTTTTACCTGCACATGTGCAGATGTACAATTTCCCGCCATTTTTCAGCTGGCTGGCAGAGTGCCAAAACAAATTGTGCAGTTAAATCAATGCACATTTTTAGCCTTTCACGATATGCCTTTGTTTGCAAACAATCAAGATAAGTCTGGTGTTGTAGCTGTGACAAAGAACATGTACAGTTTGTATTTCTCGTCAATTACAAAAAAGGTAGTTTCCCTAATGTTACAAAATCATGCCCCCCCCCCCAAAAAAAACCAAGAATCGAAAATTAAGAATGGACTGTCGTCCCACCCTAGTTTTTCTGGCTATTAAAGTTTTAATCCAAAACCTTTGTTTTACCACCTACCAGCTGGCACCCACCTACATTTGTTTTGGCCTAATGGCCCAGTTACTGATACTATATTTTGTGTTTTATTTTTTGGGATGAAACGTACCCACATGTTTATTAAAAGTTTTAAAATTTTCCATTGAGACATAATTTTGTTTAAAGGGAATATACATCATTTGCTTTTGCTGTAATTTTCAGAAATGGATGGAATTGGGGGGTTGGAAATATATAGTAAATATAGTTACACTGACTTTTTTGAGGTTTTGGGTTCGAAAATGCTATAAAAACCAAGAAAAACAATCATTTTCCTGTAGTCTGGTTCCCTGACTCCATTTAAGAAGAAACAGAGCAGTTTACATATATTGGGGAATTGTAAGGTCAGGGAACCAGTCTAGCTGGCTGGTACCCGTTCATAGGTGTGTAATCGATTGCAAACAAGTGCGATGGTCAATTGGGGCCAGTATTTGAAAAAAAGCCAGTTTTTTTCCAACGCTGATCGGCCGATCAGCGTTGGAAATTGATACAAAAATACCACTTTTCTTGAAAACGACAGTATACCAGGTGCCATGATTTTACAGGATGCTTTAGACTGTCATTCACTAACAGTCCAGCAAGGTATTTCAAAATGATTTGGTAGTTACATTTTTTGATGTTTGCAAATGTTGAATTTTCCCTTTAAACCCTTCTTGAATTGTTAAGAAATGGCCTAGTTATCCAAGCTTGTTTGCATAATACACGACAACTGCTTTGTTGAATTTTGTGGGTGTTTCCATTCACAATCTTGAGTGATTACATCATCTTTTTCTCCCCTTTCGCATTGATATTACATGGGTATCATGTGATAGCTAACTTGTTCACATGTCCAGCACATGCACTTCAAGTGACCTTTTTTGGTTGTTATTGAGTGTTTAGTAGTCGGGGTTGATATTCTTTGAAGGGGAAAGTCCCCAGTCTTTGTGATGGTCACAAAGTCATGTCTGACTGCACTGGCATGTGTCTGAAATGTCGGAATTCCATTTTGCTGGATTGGCATGGACCCAAAACATACAAACCAGGTTGTTTATACACGACAATTCGGATTTAAAGAATTTGTAACAAAAGAGGACCTTGCAATTGTTTGAAAGTTCTGCAAGGCTTAATACCTGATGATATACAGTATGCTAGTGCAATGTGATCACTGTAGATGTAAACAATTTCACGCCACTTTTCACGGGGTTGGCAACATGCCAAAACAAATTTTGAAATTAAATAAACCTATATTTAGCCTTTCATGATATGCCTTTGTTTGCAAACAATGAAGATTAGTCTGCTATTGTTGCTGTGACAAAGAATGTGTACAGGTAAATGCCCCTTGTTCTTAAACATTTTCATGGGGCAAGTTTGCTTTTGTCGTCAGTTCAAAACAAATCCTAATCTAGTAAATCACTAAAAGGTAGTTTCCCTAATGTTACACACAAATTTTTTTTTTTTAAAATTGACTGGCATCCCACCCTATTTTTTTCTGGCTATAAAGGGTTAAATAAAAAAATCCTTTTTTACCACCTACCACCGAGGCCAAAAATGAATAGTTCTGCTTTTGGGTACACTATTTTGACTTGGGAGAGAAAAATGCGAAAAAAACCCTTGAAAACAACCAATTACTACCTTTTACCCTTTACTACACGGAGACACCTCCATATGATCGTACAAAAAAAAAATTGCCACCCACTGCCAGACTTTCACGTTTTACTTTTTTTACTGTAGAGGCCTTCATAAAACCACTTTTATGCCGAGTTACCGGTATTTAAAAAATAAAATATGTTTCATCCAAATCTGAGACATTCACCCAATAGCTTCACAACCAAGTTGACGGAATTTGACTTTAATAGGTTTGCCACACCTGGGATATGGAACCCAGGATATGGAACCCAGGATATCCATACCACAACACCACGTTTGGAATACCACAATGATTATATTGGCCAGTGGTTCTTTACAAATGGTGCAATATGCCACAATTGTTCCTTTGTGGTGTGCCTTTCTAAAATGCCACAGTCATTGTCATCGTGTCATGGTTGCTAAGGCAAGCCCGGTGTAAGTGAAATGTTACGGGCTATGACTTCATGCTCTGCCATTAAAGGGAATATACATCATTTGCTTTTGCTGTAAATTTCAGAAATGGATGGAATTGGGGGGTTGGAAATATATAGCAAATATAGTTACACTGACTTTTTTGAGGTTTTGGGTTCGAAAATGCTATAAAAACCAAGAAAAACAATCATTTTCCTGTAGTCTGGTTCCATGACTCCATTTAAGAAGAAACAGAGCAGTTTACATATATTGGGGAATTGTAAGGTCAGAGAACCAGTCTAGCTGGCTTGTACCCGTTCATAGGTGTGTAATCGATTGCAAACAAGTGCGATGGTCAACTGGGGCCAGTATTTGAAAAAAAAGCCAGTTTTTTTCCAACGCTGATCGGCCGATCAGCGTTGGAAATTGATACAAAAATACCACTTTTCTTGAAAATGACAGTATACCAGGTGCCATGATTTTACAGGATGCTTTACACTGTCTTTCACTAACAGTCCAGCAAGGTATTTCAAAATGATTTGGTAGTTTTACTTTTTGATGTTTGCAAATGTTGTATTTTCCCTTTAAATAAAACTTCCAGTCCGTGATTGACCTCTGACAGTTTACAAATTTAATTTAAGTGGAACAGAGAAATTGACTGGAAATTGCAGGATTGAGGATGGTTCCTAGCCAAAAGGGCCTAGGGGTTAGGTAGGGTTAAGTTTTTATTTAAGCATCCAGTTGGCATGATTCTGCTGTCAAAAGTTGGCTATCATGTTTCCTTTTGATATACAGGCCTAACCAAAAAACCAATAAACTTATGCTGATGAGAGGTATTTTTTTCATCCAAATTTGAGACAGTTACCTGACTCAGACTGCGTATCAAAATTCTGGGACGGTTAGCATGGCATGACCCAGTTGATGAATCAGCGATGCGTTTAATAACCACAACACCCAGTAATATCCATCAAACCACAGGATTATCTGTTTTATAATTCTATGAATGAATTGTGCAATGCAACGCTATTGTTCCTCTTTGCTATGCATTCCTTGTAAAAAAATCTGCGGTTATTGTACAAATGATTCAGACTATGACTTTCGCTCTGTCATGTACACATAAAGCTGGATCCACAGTGCATTGTTGCTGTTGTAATGTTGAAACAAAGATCATACGATGAACCTGGTAGAATATTAGACCTCATGCGTATTAATGAGACAAAGAGACTTCTTTCATTGGTCAATGTTCCCATGCGCCCGGGAAACAAAACATGCCAATTTCCTGATGGGAAATGAACGTCATTAGAGAGGACACGCCTCAGTGTGCTTCCAGGAATTCAAAGGATTGCTCACAACAACTCCAGACAATTTCCTGGTTCAAAGGGAATTCTGGAAAAGGACACAACTAAATATACACATATCTTTAAATAACCCACAGGAGATTGAAATGAGACAAACCACATTTGTGTTCAATTAAGGCTACTCTAACCATGGAGTAACCATATCGTCATCGCTTTTACAATGGGATGGGTAGGTATGTCATTTTGGTAGATAAACATATTTCGAGATAATCGCAAGAGAAGTTCATTTATGTTAAAGCTTCAAAATGTATCTAAATGCGCTCTGTGCATTAACTCAAACACCCACGTGATTCTTAGCTTACCTTTGTAGGAAACCCTGTAATCATCATGAGTTGTTCTCTTTTCATGTTTTGCAGAACTCCAGAGCCAGTTCAGGGGTTACATAGTTCACACCACAAGAGTCGCACCCAGTACACTGACGCCGGGCATGACTACGTCAAGTTTCACAAGGATCGTATCAATGAACAGCTCCAAAGAACATCTCATTCCAAAGCCGGTAAGAATTGTTAGTGTACAGTTCAGACTTGTATGACTCGTGACTCAGACTCGGACTCGAGTCACATTTTTAATGACTCGGACTCGAGTCACTTTGACTTACGACTTTTGACTCGACGGAAATTACCGCACCGCACACGCGCACATACGTAAGTCGATCGTTTTCTTTACTGTGCAATACATGTACAGGGCGCTCGATGCGGTGCGTGCGTGCCGTGGCCGGTTACCGATAAATTGATTAAAGAAATCAATGTACCGAAACTTGTACCCCGCCGTCCGCACGTAATACTGCATTGGTGCAAGATTGATAGGGTAAGGTACCAGACTTTCCTTGTCAGACGTCCTGTCGTTCACACGTGTATTGCTGTCTCATTGCGATAACGCGATATGAATAGTCTGCTGATCTGCCCGTTTCGGTAACGTTACATGCAAGTTGCATGTAACTAAAATGTATGTTTTTTCAATACAATGTTAGAGGTGACTCGTGACTCGGACTTTGACTCGACCTTTGTGACTCGTGACTCGGACTTGACCTGGAGGACTCGGACTTGGACTTGCTGTTTCGTGACTCGAATACAAGTCTGGTACAGTTAGACTTAAAGGAGTCACAGACAAACAATTATATTTTAACTAGAAGTTGTGGATATAGATCTACTGCCTGTTAGTGACCTTTCTGAAATACTCAGCTCAGAAGTGGGGGGGGGGGGGGAATTAGAAAATGCAATTAAATTTTCTTTCTTGCCGTTGTTCTGAACTCCAGTTAATGCTTTTGAAATGCAGGTGGAGCATCTGACACTTTTCCTTTGAAACCGGAAGAAGGAAATTGTGGATACTGTTACATATTAGCTGATGAGACCTGTATGGTAGAAGATGAATTCAACAAGCAATCCAACGAGCAGGTCGGAGCTGATCGTGAAGAGAACAATGAGAAAGCAGCAGTGCTGGATGAAACGGAGAAGGACCATCTCGATAACAAGTACCTGCTGAGCTTTGTCTCCCTCTGTGGCCTTGGAAGGAAGGATTCTTCTTTATTCAAGGACACGGAAGGATTTCTCGGGAAGTATCTGGAAGACCAATGCTCCAAGTTGAAGCCGGAGGACACTCTTAAGGAGATAGTCCAGGAAAGTGAGCCGGAAAAAGAGCCAGATGACACGCAGATTCTGGAGGAGAGGGTAAAGAAACTGGCAGAGGAAGCAAACAAGGACAAAATAGACGAGGGAAACAGCAAGGCCTACCAGAACAAGACTAGGGAAACAGACATGGAAGATGGGATAGTCCGGGAAAGTAAGCCAGAGAAAGAGCCAGACAACAGGCAGATTCTGGAGGAGAGTCTGGAGAAGCCGGCAGAGGAAGCAAGTGACGACAAAAGAGATGAAGCAAACAGCAAGGCCGACCAGGACAAGGAGATTGGGAAAACAGACGTGGAAGATGGCGGGCCGCTTAAAGCCGCGGAGGAACTAGATGGCGGACCGCTGATATCAACAAAGGAACAAGATGGTGGGCTGCTGATTGCCTCGGAGGAGCAAGCTGGCACCAAAACAGCGGAGAAACCTGACGCCAAGCAACACAGAGGGAAGAAAAATTCAGCAAAAAGGCGGAAGAGGACCAGGAAGCCTAACCAGGGAGTTGACAGAGTGAAAAGTTTGCAGAAAAAGACGCAAAAGGCGCTGTCAATCACAGGTAAGCAAAGCGAAGGATCCCCATAGAATATTTGTCGTTTTCATTCAGATCTGATTCAAGCACAATGTTGTGAAAACAGCAATCCCAATGACCTGGCTACTTTGAAGCACTAATTTCCTTAACTGTGCAAACACACAGTTTTGATTGATAAATACCTTGTAAAGACTTTAGTTTTGTGAAAGTTTGCTTTGTAAAATGTCAAAAATTTAGAAAGCTTGTGTTCAGCGCTCCAAATTTTACTATTGTGAGGGAAAATGCAAACGTGGTGTAGGCTCCTCCCTTTTTATTGAATATTCATTAAATTAATATTCATGTATTTAATTCAATTTATTTTTTTGAAAGAACCTGCCAAGGTGAAGAAGGTTGCCAATGGCTCCGGTGGCAAAGGTGAAGCCAAGACAGATGGACACCCAAACCAGACCAACGGTGGGAATGGAAAGGTAATTTATCGTTTTATAATGAAAGAAGTTGTGATGCAATTTAGTGAGAAAAATGAATTGTCTAAGTGTGTTCTGAAATTTGTGCACACAAAACTGTAAAATAAAAAGTAAAGTCTTTCACAAGCCAATGTGGCCCATCTGGTTTGCGTTTATCTCTGGTTTCCTTGGCATGAAACAACTAAGTATATTTTTTATTCCTGATGGGTTGCAAGGCCGTTGCAGGTTACTCTCAAGCTTACGGTGGCACTGTTTTATACTTCAGGGTGAAGAGAGGCAAGTGGGTTGAGTGATTCTTTATTGAAGGCTAAGCATTTTGTAATTTGTTTTGTCCACTCCACAACAGACCTGTACTAGGGCCAGAGCAGGGGATGGTCGCAATAGTGCCAAACAGTCCAACAGTGATGATGATGAAGATGGTGATGAAAGGCGTAAGCCCCGCCACACCAACACGACCAAGAAGACTTGTGGCCGGCAAGCTCACAAAAGGAAACGCCCTAAGAAGGAGTCGTCGAAGGGATCTCGGTCTCCATCTCCCAAGCCCGGTAGTGTGAAAGACATGGATTGGGTGTCACAGGGTACCAGACCCAAGAATAGGCCCCGGGGAGGTCCTGGAGGGGATAAGTCAGGACCAAGGCCACCGAAAGTCGAGAAGGAGTCCCCGTCTGTGCGGAAACTACAGCAGCAAATGCAATGCATGTCTCTGGGTAGAGACGCTCACATCACCGCTCACCTGTCGGAAAACCCCTCGCCGGCGGGGAAGCCGATGCCCCGCACCCGGCAAAACCATCAGGCCGTCGTGAAAATGTACCACGACGATGGCATCCGGGCACACCGTGAGGTCGCTCTAAGCATGCCCTCTGGACTACGCTGGAGAGGTGCTTCAGCCATGCCAGGCGATCTGCAGGTAGCCATGAGCGCCGAGGTTAGCCCGAGATCAGTCGAGGCTCAGGTAGCTGAGGATGCAAGAGCTGATGAGGTCCCACAGCCACCTGAGGTGCCTCCAGAAGTGGTGATCCCTCCCGGGGTTAGCCATGGTGAGCCCCGTCACTTGATGGTCTTCGCGGACCATGTTCGTCAGTTGAAGGACCATGTTCTTCAGTTGAAGGACCACAATCCAGAAGAACTTTGTGGTCAACACGAGGGCGTGCTGCTTGACAAGGTAAGAGACAACAATCCTTGTGAGGGCCATTTAAGACTAAGGGCCATTTTAACTTTGTAAATGAATTCTCTATTAACACAGCCAATTAAGCATTTTAAGCTGGCAAGAATGCACAACGGCAAATTCATGAGGTCACAGAAAATTCACAGAAAAGTCTTTGATCTTAGATCCCAACTGTACAGTGGTGCTATAGTTTCCATTGACAAGAACTCGTGTGCGAAATGCTGGGATGGAGAGGTTCACATTAAATCAGTTCAGTAATTAACAGTCATACTTTTGTTTATTTTAATCATTTGTAGGCGTTGATAGTAGAAGATGGCCAGTTCAGAGACGGCCTACAGTACACCAAACTTGACTTTCTGGGACGGGGTTCTTTCGGCAATGTTTACCTTATACAGGACAGAAACTCCGGCAAGAAGGTCGTTGCAAAACAAGTAAGTAAATGCACCTACATGTGTGACTTTCATTTCATGTTGAGCTATTTTGCATTCGTGTACAAAGGAATACTGTACAGTTTAACTCTGGTGAAACAAAGCATTTGAAAGAATCCTTCTCTTTTTTTTGACAAAAGAAGATAATTTCCTACCCTTATTCAAAAGTGGCTTTCGACAAAAGTGTGGCATTTGACACACAATGAAACGACACAAATTAGACAATTCAAAGAACAGCGCGTACAATTTTTAATCATCTTCTCGAGACTCATTTATCTAATGTTTGAATCGCAAAATTCAGATACATAATCGAGGATGGAATATTCAGTATATTTGGCACAGACCTAAGGCTGCAGGAAATAAACGTGCATAACTTTCCTTACACCCCCGCCCCCCCTTTAGGTTCCAGTGCGTGCCTTCGCACCCGCAGAGGTTACACTGTGGTGCGTCTCGGACCACCCAGGGATCGTGCCTCTACTCGGCGTGCTCCGCACTGACGACATGGTGACGTTCATTTCTGGTTACGAGCCAGGCAGCCGAACCCTCCAGTCAGTGATCAACCAAGCGGTCCTGGGCCAAGGGCGAGCACTGCGGATAATGGGGCAGGTCCTGCAGGCCCTGGCCTACCTGCACAGCCGGCAAATCGTCCACAAGGACATTAAAAGTAAATGCTTTTATTTATATTGTAATGACCAAAATGTCTTTAACCACAGAAGTTTAGTAAGCGCAGAAAATACTGGCTTAGCAGAAGTGGGTGACCAACCAAATGGCACTTTAAGTATGCTGATTGTGTGTGGGTTACAGCTGACGTTGCTTAGCACAGCCATTAGCTGAGCAACATTTGCTGTTTTCCGTGATAAGTGGGCCCAGATATCGGTTGCAAATACGTGATGTGTTCTTTCAAATCAAGACGGCACTGGGCACACTCCTGAAATTGAGAAACAGGCAAAATTGGCCCCCTTTTTTTTGGGGGGGGGGGTGTATTTTGGCCATATTGGGATTTTTGGTTAATTCTTAAACCTCAAAACCCCATGAACATCCTGCTCAAGTTTGTGGGCGATTTTCTGGAGGCTTGTCACTTTCAAGATTTTGCTGGGTTTTTTTCCCGATCGTGTTGCATAACGAAGCCACAAAAAGCCTACCTTTGTCGCTCCTCAAAAGACAGCAAAGGTATCATCAGATAATTGGATTTGAGATAAAGAAAATCTCAAAAATAGATTTCATGCCCAGTTCCGTCTGATTTTTACATATTTCAAAACTTAGTCATAAATTTGAGCGATTCACAGCACATAAAAGCTGTTAATAGTGGCAAATATCCTATTGTCACCAATGCTGTGATAATGAAAAAACATTGACATGCCGTTAAACATCAAATCACATTTTTAGTAGGCAGTAGTTACTATTAAGATAGCAGTTAAAATCCCTTTCCTGTGTTTCTCATTCTTCAGCGGACAACCTACTTATCCTGCCCGGGGCCCGGGACCGGGTTAAAGTTATAGACTTTGGGCTTGCCACTCGGCTTACCGCCCCTGAACATACCGACGATGTACTCAAGGGCACTGAGTGCTACATGTCTCCCGAAATCGCAGGTAAGACGAGGGCAAGTTTTTATTACAGTTTTCCTCTTTCACTTCATCTGTGTGAAGTGACGTAAACCCAGGATCTGCATTGTCCTACCTAATTTTTAAGGGTAGGGACCCATAGATTATTAGTAAAGCAAGTTTCTGTGTGCAAAAAAAAATAAATAGTTTTTGGTCTTGCGTTTGATTTTAAGGAGGGGAAGCGTACGATGCTCGCACGGACGTCTGGAGCTCGGGCTGCACGTTTGTGTGCATGATTAGCGGACATCCTCCGTGGTCCCAGAGGTTTAAAGGGGTCCCGACCAAACTCTACGTCGTAAGTAGTTTCAAATTTGGAAGCAGTGTTCACTTTTCATCGAATGAAAGTACAGAGAAAAGAAAAATCGACTTGATTCCAATTTCATGGCTCTTGTTAACCGCAGCATTCCACGCTAACAGCTCTTGCAGGAAAAAAAATCTGTGTTTACCTTGTTAGCACAATCTTCAAGGGCGGATCCATGGGGTCCAACGGGGGCCATGCCCCCCCCCCCCAAAAAAAATTATAAACCCAATTTTTTTGTTTTGTTTAAGTGACGTCGCAATTAAGGTAGGCACTACGTACACCACCATCTTTCCCTAAAAAAAATTGGTTAAAGTGGTCAGAAATTGCCTCAGATCGCACCACAGAGCATCTAGAATCCAAAAACAAATTCGGGGCCCTTGAGCGGGCCCCAAACCCCATGCCGTTATTTTTTGGGGACCCACTTTTTGGGGGACCAATATTTTTTGGCCCCCCCCCAATTTTTTTTCTGGATCCGCCCTTGACAATCTTTAGTTATAGGATGTACACATGCGCAAACGCCAAAATTCCTCGCTACCTGTGAAATATGCTTACCGTAAGCACGTTTTTTGGCTGCTGAAGTAAGCAAGGTTTTTCGCTAACATTAAGCAGATTCATGAAATTGGGCCAAATGACCGTAAAGTTGCATTTTAAGATCTTAAACATCGGATTATTGTGCTGCCCGTCTCTTTAAGATTGCCGTCAGTGGGCCCCCTTTGGAGGACATCCCCCACAACACGGACCCCAGGGTGCGCTGCTTTATAGAGCAGACTTTGAAGAAGGACTTCCAGAAGCGGCCGACAGCGGCCCAAGCCTGGCAGATACTGCCCCTGGATATTGGTGAGTGCTTCTCCCAAAGTTCACACCCCACTTAACCTGTCAGACCCCCTGAAAATAAAAAAAAATAAAAAAAAAGATACTCCTCCAAGGTTCCCATTATCCAGGGATTCAAGTTGCTGAAGCGGTACTTTCCTCTCCTTCCACATCTACAACGGGACGCCACTGGAATTTAGTCCAAGGACTTCCGTGGGTTGTCCCGGCCAATTGGCACATAATCACAAACAAACAATTTTAAAAAGGTCATTGTGCAAACCCGGGCTTCCTCCCAGCTTAGGCTAAGGCTCAAATACTAAAACCATGTTGAAGCTACTTGAACCGATTGAACAGGCCCCAAAGTTTGGTTTTGTATTTACAAACTTCCAATGCTTCTGTAGCAGAAAAGTAATGGATCCACCGTCTCCAAAACTTTGGGGGTTCGGGACCATGAAGCTGGAGCCCAAAGCCGAAGCTGGAGCCCAAAGCCTAAGCTGAAGACAAAGCCGAAATTTCATAAATGGTCGTTCATTTTTTTTTTAAATTCATTAAATGCAAAGAAGCAGCTTGAAACACTAGAACAAAACAAAAACAGCCAAAGTCTTTTTTTGTGTGTGTGACAGCGGAGGAGCTTGAAAACACCCTTGCTATTGAACATGACGAGCCAGAGCCTGAGCCAATGGACGTACAGAGGGACATCCCTGAAGATGCGTTCCCTGGGCCCCTGACCCCGTGGACTCCCCGGGGTCCCCAGGATGGCTTCCGTCCGTTCCCTCAACGCCAAGACCCTCCTCCAGCCAACCGACCTGCCCCTGACATGTCCCTGTCGTTTTTGTTCATACCTGGCGACGGTGAACCCAGACAAGACAAACGAAGGTAAGTCGGTCAATAGAATCTATGCGCAAATATTCCCATTTCAGTGGCAATGAGAGATATGTATGTAAGACACTTGAACTCTTTTACGGTTTGATGAAATGAATTTTGAATTGCAACTTATGTAACTTTATTTTGTATTTCCTGGGGTTTTTTTTGGAGGGGGGGGTGTTTTAAAATTGTGCTAATACAACATTTGTATATTCATGAGCAGAACCTTAATGTCATTTAAACATTCATAAAATGTAGATCAGAGTATAGCAGTGTTACAGGCTGCAGTGTTACAGCTGCTTCAGCATTAAAAGTTTGCCAGGATATATATTTTTTTTTTGGCCACTGTCAACTTTCTGGGTTTTTTTGGTGCACCATTGTAATTTTATATAGCAAACATTTCAGAGAGCAGGCTTTAGGTTTCATCATTTATATGCCGAATCCATAAGCTGGTACTCGCCCGAAATTGCTACAAATTTGATGGTTTTTCACCGATTTTAACTAAGTACTTATTAGTTATTTATTTACGTATTTATTTATTTATTTTTTTTGGATCTAGTGATGTTCCAAACAGTGAGATGGAAGTCGATGAGGAGGACATGTATGGACCCCCGCCGGACCTTGACAGTCCCGAGACTTTCGTCAAGGATGCCTTCAAGGCTCGGCCATCAGAAGTTTCCAGCGGCACGTCTTCGGTCAATCCGCGCAGCGTAGCTCGGCAGCTAAGCCTGAATGCTGCAAACTTTGAATCGCCATTCAATGGCCACCTGAAGGATGCACAGCAGAACAGCCAGGCAACCTCCAGCTTCATGCTAGACACTGCTGGCAACCCCTTCGGCTTCAATGGTAGATTCCAGCCTCATGAATATCCATGTTTCATTTGATTAATAATAGTCACCTCAATGAGCTTTTTTTAAAATGAGATCAACTGGTGGTGCAGAACAGCCAGGGAGGCACCTCGGCTCCATATAGGACAAACCTGTAGAACATGCCACAAAACCCCTTTGATTAAATGGTAAGTTCCAATGGCATGAATATTCATGTTTCATTGGTCACCGTGCAGATATCATGCTTTATTGTCCATATTTATTGGATGACATTTAGCCAGTGAGATCCATTCCATGTCCTTAAGCAAGTTACTTTACAGCAATTGCAGATTTGAATTCAGTGGTTTCATTAGCCTGTACACTGAATGGCAGCATTTGACCTGAATACATGAAAAGCTTCATGGGCTTGATGGCACAGTGCCAGCAGATCCATATTCAGGGATGCACATGCCTTAATATAAATCCTGGGTTTGTAGTAATTTGTGGTGCAGTGATTTTTAAACACACTTTGAGTTTAATATCTTTGCTCTTTTGTACAGGTGATTCTCAGTCATTCGAGCTAGAACCAATGTCGCTTGGTGGATCATTGGAAGAATGCCACTCCATCAGCACAGCACATGCTCTGATGGTGAGTATTTTTTTCTTTGACCACTTTTTTTTTTCCTTCTACACTGGATAACTTGATTGCAAACATTTGTAAATTATCACCAATTCATAGAAATCCCAAGTACTTTATGAATGCGTATGATTTGTTTCAGTTTGAAGCTAGCCAGATGCCGTCTCTGGAGAATGCTCTCTGGAATGAAGCGGACGTTGCAGGCGCTGCTGGATTTGACACCTCGGGAGTTGATACGAACTCGCCGGGACTCTCGGCCGAAGATCAGCACTTCGCCTCGCTGACGGAAACTGTCCAGAGCACCAGTACTGCTGTCCCTGGTAGGTTTTAATCTCGCAGTAGGGTGCAGCAATAAGGCCAATTTACACATGCCCCATGATACTGTCCGGTGGCAGTGTCGCACATTTTTATAAACAAGCACAAATGAATGAGTGATCGAAAACGCACGACTTTGTCGCGTAAAATGTAAACACTCATTGATTTGTGCGGTTTTATAAAAACGCACGACAAAGTCGCATATGAGTAAATTGGCCTTTACAGGGCCACTGTAATGCAGAAAATGTTGACTGAGCAGATTTGTGTGTCAATAATATAACGGAGCAAGCAAAGTAAAGCTGGTCCCAAAGTGCACAGAATTTGCTGTTCATTATCTTTTCATGCATCTGGTCTATGCATTTGGCGTAATGGGGTAATCCTTTATGATAGCACTGCCCAGCTCAAAGGTGGCAGTCAGTCAGTCCGTGTGATAGGTACAATGAGGACAATAGGCTGGCCCTCTGGGACCGGCACAAATCAGCCGACAACCAGTCACATCTGATATAAGTCACGTGACTATGCTGAGCATAAACAGCTCCGGGAAAGGTTCCCTGGGATTTACTCATAAAAAGTAACTTGAGTTCTGATCACTTGTAAGCTGTTCAAGTTGTTATTGTTGGAAAGATCTTACAATGTACTCTGGACGTTGAAAGAAATTGATAATATTGGTGTTTTTGGGGTGTTTTTTTTTTGGTGTCCTTTGAATAGGCGGTATTGTGGCTGTCGTCGGTATCGAGGGTAAAGAGCCGTTCCGAATGCGCCTCAAACCAGATTACTCAGGTCGTGAGTTGGCAGAGGCGATTGTGGGTCTGCAGCACTATAAAGACTCGAAGGTGAGCGTTGAGCCTTGGCTCTTGACCACTCCCCTCCCCACTCCTAGCACTTAGTTGTGCAGGGGGATTCAAGATATACTGCACCATCAAGTATCTTCTTCACTGAGGCCACTTCCCCACTTTGTGGTCAAATTCAGAAGCCTAATCAATAAAAGCCAAGTTAAATGGTAAAGATTCACTTTTAATGAGTTTACAACTGAAATGTTTTAGTTGAATGAAACAAGTTAAATTTTTTTGGCCATCTCCAGTGCTTTCTTTGGGTTGGTTTTTGGGCACAAACCATTCCTCCCTTGAGTAGACTGGTGCCTGGTCTTTACAAATGTGGATCCTGATTGGGAGGGGGCAAGAACCAGTCTGCTCTGCCTTTGAATTTTTGTCACGCCACTAAAATGTGGAAGGCTTGTTTTCATATATGGTCTTATCAATTATTTTGTTTACCATGATGCAAAGAAATGGCATCTCTTTTAATATATCTTTGGTAACACAGATTTCTGGTAAATTCTTGGTGGTGCTTTATAAATGCTTACAATTGGAGTAAACAGTCTTGCTTAAGAACATATCCACCCTCCTCTGTCTTTGTCGATAGCCAAAGCCGCCTTTTCCATTATGCACACTTTTAGAACCAGAATTATTAGACATTTGTGTCTTGTTCCCACTTCTGCAGCTCGCCATGAGGGCGTTCACACTGTGCTGGAAGGACACCGGTGATGTTCTCCATCTGAATCACACCTTCGGCTGTGGCGAGCACCAGCTGGTTGCCGTGGCAGCGCCAGAGGGCGATGATTGGCCATGGTGGCGCATCAACAACAGCGGCCGGATTACCAAGACCGAGTAGATATGAGTTCAGCATTATATGTTTGGCATGGCTGGCCATACTCATATGGCCTGCCAAGGAGAACAATTTAAAGAGGAAACAACCCTAATCTGACAAGCGTGTTCCTAAAGCCCCACCACAGCAACAGCGCCCTCAGTTGTCAGGAAAAGCGTGAAACATTTCAAAAATTTAGAAAAGTGCCCTTTTCAAAAGCTTGTACCAAAAAGGGATGTGTCATAGTTTTTTTATATGTTTCAGAGAAATGGCTAATTTCTACACACATGTACCGGTGTAAAATCCATTTCCTGGACCCTTTAAATATTGCACGTTATTGTAAGTACTAAGCACTGTAATGTAATTATGGTATTTTTGAAGTACTTGGATATCTGAAAGGTATGTAAGATCGTTTACTTTCAGAAGGAAAACAGATAATGAAATGGAATGAAAAGTTAAAATGCAAAATGAAAAAAAGAACAACCAAAAAAGCAACTAAAAATTGCAATAACAATCTTTAAATATAGGACTGTAGTCATCCTAAGTACTGTATTGTATTTGAATTACGTATACTCAAGACATCTTAAAGGTACGTAGGATTCTTAAGGGGGGTTTTGGTGCAGTTATTTTGTTTGAAGCAACAAAAGTGCTCAAAATGTAAAGGAGGATGCATACCAACTAACTTTTTAAAGTTTTAGCTCAATGGATACTGGGGTTTTTTTAGGCAACAGAAAATTTAAGCATCTTTTTGGTCTTGTAAAGTTTCCTATGTACCTTTAAGCAACTAGATTGTATTTGTATGTACGTTTATGAATTCCTTTCGAATATAATGTTCCATGTGTTTTAAGATGCTTCCTAAATGTAATTTTGTGGGCACTTGCTTTAAATTGAGCCACCTGATGTTCTGTGACTAATTTTATTAAAAAAATAATTAGACAAATAGTTCAAGATTTGATACGGATGTCTTGAATCTTCACATAATCGATCATCAATCAAATACTCGAATAGCGTTTTCTGGTTTGAGAATTCAAAAAACAATTTAAAAAAAAATTGGTAGGTACACACACGACTCAGTTGATCGGAGAGTTTCGAACACAGTCGAAACCTGATAAGAAGAGCACTGTTTATACAACATCCTGCTCATATAAGGAAAATTTTATGTCCCAAGTCTTTGTGTTTCTTTGTTTTACAGTACTGACAATACAAGGTACCTGTTAAAACATGATAACTTGTCAAGTCTCAATGAACTTGTTACCAAGGTGGCCACTGTATTTGTTCAATATGCATGCAGTTACAAATATAAATTGAGTACCAACTTAACTGATTCGAATATATAGACAGCAATAACATTCAGGCATGCAACTTTTCCTTGGATTAGCTGATTTCCGTGTTTTTCACTTCACACTTATACCATTGAAAATTGAAAAAAAAAACACTGTACAAAGTCTTGAAAAGATTGGAGTTTCCTCGTTTTTTGTTTCTTCCAAGTTGCATGCCTGAACATTTGCCTACTTGTTTGCAAAAATGTATCATGAATACATGTAGGACACTGATTTTCATTTATACTGGTTGGAATCCGATTTTAAATTTTAGATTATTGTCAATTTACCCTGTACAACAATTAAAAAATCGCTGATGAATAAATTAGAGTGTGTCTTATGATTTCGTTTCTATTGGTGTTTTTGTTTTTCCGTGTCCTCCTTTTATACCTCACAATATTTTTTTCAAACATAAATGTTTCAAAAAAATAATACCTCCATGCAAAATTTTAAAATCCCATTATATTTTTAGCCATAATAAAGTTGATTAATTGAGAAAAAACTTCCTCCTTTTGGACTGATTATCTACCAAATTTATTAGCCCAGAAATTTGTAAATTTTAAACCTAGGATCTGACATGGAGTGAGCCTACGGCGCTCATGAGTCCAAAACACGGGGGGGGGGGGAAAGCTTATCTCAAAAATGAATATGACGTTATTTTTGGCAGTGGCCAAACAAAAAATTCTGGCTCTACTTCGTTGGTTACATTTACAAGAGTTAAAAGTTTTAAAACAGTCTTATTTATAGCTCCATGACAGAACAGCGTTAGTGAAGTGTATTGGGGGAAATGTGAAGACATTGTTGATTATTTGTTTATTAGTCCAAATTTGTTTTTGCATATTTTAAAAAATATAATTTGGCACAGTGACTGACCATGATTTTAATATTGCTGTGATGAAATGTGATTTAACATCTGGGGGTTTGTTTTCAGGCCAAGTTAAAAAGAAAACAGTTTCACGCGTCCCCTCCCACCTTTTTCCCCGACCGCCTCCTTTTTTTTATTCCTACATTTGCAAGAGATTTTGCAAATATATCGTTCAATATAATGTCTTTTTATTTGTTTCCAACAAAATTACATGTAATGTAGAAGTGGTGACGGTTTTTTGTACACCATACTGTATCAGCACAAAACTTGAGAAAATGGAACAATATTCATCCATCGCAATCTTTTTTTTGGGGGGGGGGAGGGGAAGCACGCTACCTTTTTCATTGTTGTGAAACTGTAGTTTTTTAACTGGGCTTTAAATGGAAGTGTTAACATTGTACAGTTGACCATGAATATTTGGGACTTGTGTACATGTATATTCCGGTTATGGAAATTGGGATGGGATCGAGTAGATTTGATGCACGTTGCTCAGTATTTGTTCCAGAGCCATGATTCGGGAAGAAAAGATAAATATACTGCAATAATGTAGGATTCGATTTAAAAATAACTCAGAAAAAAAAACACATTTTTCAACAATTTTTTTCGGGAAAATGACATTTTTTTAAAAATGCCCCGCCCATGTGCACGTGGGTAAATAATAATATTATTAATAATATTATTATTATACACGTGCTACTCTGTGGCAACCTCTTCCCCGGTGCCTACTTTATTTTCATATTCTTAGGTATTGGTAGGAGCGTACCGCTCGAAGCCGAGGGCGCGATAACTTTTCGCGCACCTCAGCTTAGTCTGGTTCCCAGACCAAAAGATTCCGACTATTCCTGATGAATTTAGACGTGTAGACGTCGGGGGAAATTGTCAGGTCGGGGAACCAGACTAACCTCAGCTCACCGTGCACCACCTTTACCGACCTTTGCACCGTGACGACTACCGGTATATACCGCGCCTACGTACCATACCGTATCCGCGTGATCAGCAGTACCCGGTACCGCGGCCGGCACCATACTTCGACAACAATTTGCAGAACTTGTGTCCATTTAATTACCACAAATTCTGTCATTTGTCTTTGTACTAGGACAGCTCAGCAAAGTGAGTGATTAATTTAGTTTTATCTTTGTGTAAGGACGTTGATTGAGATGATTTTGTTATGTATATTATGGTGTAAGTCAAGGATGTTTTTATCGTTTCTCATCATGCTCATCCATCATCATGTCCATGTCTGATTTTGTTCAACTTCAAGTTCATTTTTGTGTGTATGCAACAGCTCCCATTGGTTTTGTACATGTTTTCGAATCGAGGATGTCATGCATCATGCATGCATGGGCGGCCAAAATCTGGATGTCAAGACGCAGTCTCGTTTTGTCTTTTTGGAAAGATTCCGTATCTGGCCATCACTAATTTTACCCTTCAGTGAGCGCTCCTTCAGTGACCCATCAGCCATGTCAGCATGCATCAGCCATCATAATAATATTTCCTAAAATTTAAAAAGTCAAATTTAGCAGGGAAAATATTGAAGTAGGCCTACAATCCTGGCCAAATCTCGCTGGGCCCGCAACCCCTCAGCCTCCGGTCAATGTTGTCTCTCATTGCACGGTGTGTGCTCCATCCACTGAAGAGAACAACATTGACTGGGGGTGCGGGGGACTTGGTGACCGTTGGAGGCTAAGGTTATTTCCAAGTGTCCCAACCATTTTGGCCAGGATTGTCTGAATGTACAATAGCCTTGATATTGGATTTGGATATTGCGCGTAGTACGCGCTCAAATAAAAATACACACACGCGCGCGCTGGTAATATGGTCAATGCACACGTTACACCCAGGCGTGGTTCTACGGGGGGCTGTAGCCCCCCCCCCCCCCCCCCCAATTTTTTGTCTAGCCCCCCAAAATAAATTCCTTAAAAAAAATTGCCTTAGCAAAAAGAAGGATTGTGATGTACATGCGAACGGTCTCCCCCTAAAGAAGAAATAGCCGTGACAAGGGTGCATTAGTTAATATAGTGCGAATGATTTTAGGATTTTATTGGTGCTCCCCATTGAAAAAATGGCATGAGCCCCCCCCCCCCCCAAGTGTCTGGAAAAAATAACCGGTCTACATTTCAGCACGCCTCCCTGAAAAAATTCTGGATCCACCGTGCTAGCCCCCCCCCAAAAATATTGGTTCTAGAACCGCGCCTGGTTACACCATGACGGTGCACCATGTCATTTTGGCCGATATTTTTGCAAAATACAGATTGTGTCCGACGTGAAAGTCGTATGTATACACAAACAACGTATCATCTTCTTGAATTTGTTTTTAATTCCTCATTTGGACGAAACATCCATCCAAACCATAGTGTAACCACGGTTCACCGCTGTAAATAATATAAGAAGCAGAGTCACTGGACTTTCCAAATCAGATTTCCACTCAATAAACAGGTTTTCTGACGTTAACGTTTCTCTTGTGTATTTTGATGACTGCAGGTGAAGTGTATTTAAGAAACCTGACGTGAAAAGCAACCACAGAGTCGGCAAGAGCTTGAAAGTTGACGAGTCAAGATGGCCTTGCAAGTTTCTGTTGGCAGTCCTGACACTGGATCGGATGCACAAGAGTCCACTTTGGACGGGTAAAAGTCAAATTTGCACTTTTTTTATCCACAACTGCCACAGATTTAGCTTGAGTAACTCCACCTGACATGCTTATCAGGAATTCAACGTTGAATTCAACGTTGAATTCCTGATGAGCATGTCAGCTGGAGTTACTCAAGCTACAACAGATTAGGTATTATAACTTCAAAACAGGGGGATTATAAAGGATACTTTATCTCCAGTTTACTTGGGCATGAAGTGACTGACAACTTTTGTATCCCCCTGGATGGAATGCCAGTCCATCACAGGTTACTCCCCAGCTAAAGCCAGTACCCATTTATACTCTCGTGTGGAGAGAGGCAAGTGGGGTTCAAGCAGCTTGTCCAAGGACACAACATGTGGCCATCAGCTGGATTCAAACCCTGATCCCTCTGATCACGAGTCATGAACCCCAACCATTAGGCCACTCCCCTTTAAGCATAATGAAAAAACAGTGGCCCTCTTTGTTTCTTTGTTTTTTGTTAAAGTTCAAATTACATTATTCTTTATTAAGGGCTACAAATGAATATACATTTTTTGTGCATTGTAAAATTTAGTATGTCTAGTGTTAAGGCATATTTTGAGTTGTAACAAGGGCCGTACACAAACCAGCATGTATCGATTTGTGCATCAGTCTTACAACAATGCAAACAATGCACAACTTTGTCGTTGCTGCGCGATCACTCTTCAGTTTAATGCTGATCGGAAGATATTGTGGGGTGATTGACATATGTAATTGGTCGTCATAATAATTTTAATATGTCTCTTGATTATGTCTAAAAAAAAATTCAGCCAAAATACTCCCTCTCAAAATGGGACTCAACTTCAGACTTTTCATGCATTTCAGAATGGCCGTCGTGCCGGGTCGTTCCCGAATTGGGTCGCAATGGGAAAGTGACTAGGTTGATATTATATATTTGTTCATGCTTTGCTGAATGTCTTGTTTATTTTGCTCTGCAGATCAAAAGAAGATGTTAAAGTTATGAAGGGAACCACAGGATGTGAGTTGATAAATATGAAAACAAAAAGGAAAACACTTTTTTATGATGTTTAGTCCCTCTCCCCCCTCCCCCCCCAAAAAAAAAAATATAGGGGTTCTTTTTCAAAAATGCCAGCAAAAAACCTTTCCCAGACAGTGGTTTATGTGGAATAGAGGAAATTGGACCATATTGCAAAGAAAGATGTACCCCCAGAAATAGTATTTCAGTGATTCCTTCTTAGGCTAATACCTCTAAAATACTTTTTTTCTTTTACCAACAGATTGTCCCACTGATGATATGCCTCACCATGATCTCCAAAAAGACGATTCCCGTAACGACCCGTGGAAAAGAATGATAGAACAAAGCAAAGATGCCAGCCACACAGCAGAATCTAACACAGGTATTACCCTTTGTTAATTGATCTCCCAAATTGTCTTTTGATTTACATGTATTTCTGGGCACATGTCCAGGGCCCCCAGGGAAAACAGTTCTTAGATAAGTGATGGGGCTTCCCTGGTAAAATAAAACGATAAACAAACAAATAAAATAAACAAAATGTCCAGCAATATAATGCTGAAGCTTCTACATCATCATTAAATTTTTCATTCATTTTCTCACCCTGTCTACAATTGGCAAAACTTGTGTTTCTCACTGAAAAAAATTGAAAGTCACTTGCTTACCGTGTGCCGTGGTGCATGGGTTCGAATCCTGACCGTTGGAACATGGTACTTGTGCTCTTGAGCAAGGCACTTTACCATTATTGCTTCATCCTTCGGATGGGATGTAAAGCCGTAGGTCCCGTGTGTTGTGTAATGCACGTTAAAGAACCCAGTGACACTTATCGCTAAGAGAAGGGATTTGCCCCGGTGTTTCTGGCAGTGGCTGCAATATGCGCCGCAGTACCTTGTAAACCATTATAAGGTGCTACATAATGGGTCTCATATTTCTCATAAACTCTATTTACCTTTCTTTAATAATTGACATAATTTCCAGCGCCTTGAGTACCTAATTGTTGGTAGATACGTGTGCTATATAAGACTCTGTTATTATTATTATTATTATTACAGGAGCTGCACCAATCATAGCTAGGATGGCTGCTGATCTAGGAAATTGTGACGGCCACAAAAAGACGAGCCAGTCAAAACAGAACGATGGTGAAAAAAGCCAGGTTAGTTGCTTGAAACCTCAATAATGGGTCGTTCTTTAAAGCTATGGTCCATCATTTGCAGCCATCCGAAAAGTAACTGGCGTAATTATTGTAATTATTGTTGAAACACAAACTTGGTTGAAAGATAGTAAGGGAACTAAACTCCCTATGAAATTATTCTTTCTGGGAAGCTGTCATTTTGAAGTAATCAACAAAAGTAGGAAAATTTAAATTAATAGTTCGTTTTGTTATTCGGCGAAGCGCGTGTAAGCATTGGCACAACGCACACACGCGTGCGGTTGCTATAATTTGTCGGATCAGTGCGCGACGTCGGGAATAGCTGCAATTCAAAACAATTCAAAACATGATTCAGTAACTTTTGATTTGAAATTGAGATCCTAGAATGCTGTTTTTGTCAGAATAAACAGCTGAAGCTTAACTGAAACTTCATCAGGTTAGTTGTTCAGTATCCTTCATTAGATTTTGTACACTTTTGTTGCAAACGAACAAAATGCACAAATTACAAATGATGGACTATATCTTTAAATGTTTGGTCCAAAGTGTGACATTTTTCCTGTCCTTGTTACCTTGTTTAAGTACATGTGTATCATTAAGAATGACTTAATTTTTGTTATTTGTTGGGAAGTTAGTTTGCTATTCATAATCAGTCTTGGAGGGTGACTGCATTAGGGAGTGCATCAAAATTAGCAAATAATAGATGTAACAAGGACAGGAAGAAAAGTAGACTCAGAATGTATGGAATGATTCTTCTGATAAGTGTTGTTATTTTGTGCAAGCCTGTCTAGTAACGCAACAAGGTTTATTTTTCAGAATAATCAACTTGACTTATTTTTTGAGGTTTGATTACAAGTGCTGTGCCTTACAAGTGCTGTGTGGGGAACTCTACGAGTGATTCTGTAATGAGGGTTAAAGCATTTTATAATTTCTCCCACCCTGACAGACCTCTACCGTCGGTAATCGTAGCAGCGACGGGCGAGCTCGTGGACGGCCTTTTAGCTGTCCGAAAGAAATAGCACGCGAGGGTAGACTTGGTGGAGGCCCTTCAGGGTCTCCAAGAGGTCTAGCCTTAGCCGTTCCCCCCACCTTACAAAACGGGCAGGCTGTCAGGAGAATGTTAGAAGACCAAAGTGTGCAGGAACACCACAATGTCAATGTGAGCATGCCCGGTAGAGATGCTTGGAACACACAAGGGATTCGTCACGGTAAGGCCGGTGACGTGATTATCTTCGCGAATCGTATTGAACGCCTGAAGACTCGGAATCCTGCCGAGCTCCGTGGATACCACCAGGGCGTGCTGCTTCATAAGGTAAGAGACGAAATGCATCTGTCATGTCACAACAAGTATTCATGTAGTCTAGGGGCTAGATGTTGTTATGGTTTGAACCCACCGCCGCGATAGGGCGTTATCACAACCAACCAATATCACCCACGAACTCGTCAGGAACAACGTCTAGGGACAGTTGTATCGTTTGTGTAATGCTCCCGCATCTGTTTGGCCTAATATGTACAACATGCATTCAAAATATTTCATTGTAGTTCCGAACCAGTAGTATAAAAGATGCAGCAAGACTTTTGTGCAACTTCACTGGTCAGCTCTTTTGTGGCGTGTAGTGTGCGTGGGACTGAACATGGACCGTAATTGCCTGCAGAAGTAGATTCTACAAATTTCCCTAGATGTTGCTCCTAACGGGTTCGTGGGTGATACTGGTTGGTTGTGATAATGCCCTTCGTGGTGGCTGGTTATCATGGCGGCGGGTTATCGCGTATCAAACCATAACAATGTCTAGCCCCTAGACTAGTATTCATGCTGCAAAGTCTGGAATTCAATGATTGTTTTGGGGAATCAGCTAACTGCACATTGACACCTTGTCTTGCAAATGCCATTTAAGCAGATAAATCAGCTAACCATACGCCACAAAGTTCATATGGCACAGTGTGTTTGTTTGAATTTAGTCCTCGTTTTGATAGAGTGTGAGCATCAGGCATTGCACCAGATCATGGTCTGTTCGTTTTCTTTATCATGGTCTGTTCGTTTTCTTGTTATTTGCAGTATTTGACACCAAGTCATTCGACACCAAGTCAGTACAGAGAGGGCGAGCAGTACATCGTTATTAAGCGTTTGGGGAAAGGTGGTTCTGGTGTCGCCTTCTTGTTGAAGGATGAATATTCTGGCATACAGTTTGTCAGAAAAAGAGTAAGTAAAGTGGTTCTCCATCTGCAATTTTTCAACACAAACACAAAAGATTCAACATTGTTTTAGAATTCAAAGATTCATACATATTTTTTTCAAGGTCCCTTTTGGGAAATTTGCTAAATCAGAGCCTCAACATCAAAAAGTTATTTCAAATGCGTTTGACATAAGAGATTCTTCTCATCTCCCCCCCCCCCCAAAAAAAACCCCAATAATACATCCATAAAACTGTTCATTTAATTTGTTTTTTGTAGGTCTCTGTAAAGTATTTTGAGGCATCTGAGGCCGTACTTTGGTGCCCGCTAGACCATCGAGGAATCGTGGGCTTCCTGGGCCTGCTGCTCACTGATGACTGGGTGATGTTTCTCTCCAGTTACCAGGAGGGTAGCGAGACCCTTCAGGAGCTAATTGACCGACATGTCCTGGACCTGGGGTTGGCATTGGAGATCATCCAGCAGCTGCTAGTTGTTGTTAATTGGCTTCACAGCGACCATCACATTGTCCACTTTGACATTAAGCGTAAGTATTTTGTTTGTCATTAGAAATCTGTTTGAAAAAGTTATGTGTATGTTCAGTGCAGAAAGGGTTTGCCGTTGGTGTTTAAAAATCCTGCAGAAATTCTACAGGTGATCATGGGAGAAGTTGCTGCTTTACTTGCAAGGTTATTGCAAGAAGGGTGGTAAGAGAGCAAGTAACATCCCCCTTCCCTGTTAATCATTCATGTTGGCAAAATTGTTTTGTTACCAAAATCGTGTCTGTTGGCAAATGTGACAGGATAACGAGTGCCAAATATTGTCTGAAAGTGTCATAAATTGATTGTCCACCCAGCGGGCAAAATACGTTGAAATAACGTTGAAACAACGTCAGATACCGACGTTGAACTAACGTTGAATAATCTGTGAACTTGAAAGTTGATCTGACGTTGAAATTCCGACGTTGAATCAACGTTGACGTTTCAATGTTGAATTAGTGTTGGAAATGTAACGTTGATTCAACGTTGAATAATGATTGAATTTGTAAGTTGATATGACGTTGAAATGCTGACAGAAAACCAACGTTGAAATCACAACGTTGAATCAACGTAGACATTTCAACGTTGATTCAATGTTGAAAATTCCACGTTGATTCAACGTTGAATAATGATTGAATTTGCAAATTGATCTGACGTTAAACCAACGTTAAACCAACGTGGAAATCACAACGTTGGATCAACGTAGACACTTTGACGTTGATTCAATGTTGGAAATTCTACGTTGATTCCACGTTGAATGATGATTGAATTGGCAAATTGATCTGACGTAGAAATGCCGACATTGAAACAATGTGGAGATTACAACATTGAATTAACGTAGACATCTCTACATTGATGATGATGGATTGCAAATTGAATCAAGGTATAAATAATCAACAGTTAAATAAATACAATTCTTCAATCAACATGGACATATTAAGGTTTGTGTTTAGATCAAGATAAAGCTGGTATGTACTGCTAATTTATGGTGGGGGGCAATTCCACGGTAACGGAAGGACGTTTTCACTCATTAAACAAAATTTCAAATGTGTGTATCACAGACACTGTTAATAGTTACAGCAAACAAATGACACAATGGTATTGGTATAATGCTACCTTCAATTTCCACACCTTTGGGGGGTCTGAATGCCTCCCGTTTATGAATTATGAATATTAATGAGGTCGGTAACGGAAGGACGGTAAAACGGACAAGGGTTTTCCAACTTACTCGCGTTTTGCGTAAACTCTGTGAATTTTATGGGGCAATTATATTTTAAAGGTAGGAAATGGAATCCCTGAAGCTTTATCTATACTATACCACCTTTCATTTGACTTTAAGTGTTTCGGTAATATAATTACAACGTTTTAAGTGGACTATAATTTGGTAACGGAAGGACGGTAACGGAAGGACAAAAGGTTTACTCAATTATAGCATGAACAAAATGTGAATTTACACTAATTATACAAGTGAAACAAATTGCTGAAATGTGTAACTGAATGTGAAATCAACAATATGCAGACCTGGCATAAATAATTATACCCAAAAAACTATTGAGATAAAGATAGAAGCCTGCTAATTAATGATAACAAAAGAAAAATGAAAACAACCAAAAACACATCATTCACGAACACAAGACAACTACAGAAATGAACTTCAAACCCATCACCTCAATCCTCAAAAGTTCAAATTCACAGTATTTGAACACTTGAGTATATTGGTTACATGTTTACCAACAACTTTTAATTATACCGGTAGGGTCAGTGGTTTACCTAAAGGGTGGGGGGGGGGGACCAGCCTACATGTACAAGGTCAAAACATCTACTGGTAGAACTGATGGCTTCAGAATAAATGCTTTTAGGTGTTGCTTTTAATTGAACTCTAAATTCAATGTTTGAAATCAAATTACAATGATTTAGAGTAGTAACAATTAACTTATAAACATCCAAACTGAAGTTGTTAACTTGGGCATAATTTGTCAAAGATTGCACCTCACATGTCTTACACATGTAAATTGAATGAAAGTGCCCCAAAGTACCGGTACTTTCTTCCATCTCATTTTTGACTTAATTGCTTCTGGAATGGCTTCACAGAAATTGTATTTTTCTCTATTGTCCATGAATGCTGATGGCAGCAACTTTATGATTTGATTTTCTGCAACAACTCCATACATTTACAAGTACTGGTACATCGGCATATATGTACATGTACATTGTACATGTTGTACATGCCTGTGCCATCCTTTGTAAAAAACACCTTGCCCTGCTTATCCCGCTTTTGTGAAGGTGGGTCACATGAATGTCCTTTCAATGCTCATTATACATGCATGTATTTGCAGTGATTTTCATTTTTCAAACATGAGAACAAATGTCGTAACATTTGAAAAAAATACGATTTGTCCTTCCGTTACCGTCCTTCCGTTACCAATTTGGTAACGGAAGGACGGGATTTAATTAATTTTAATTAAAAAACGACAAGTACAGCAGTGTCAGTTATAATGTCATATTGAAGGCCTACCTAAACTTGCTTTGCACAATAACTTTCAATGCATTCATACTGCAAGTTTTAAAAATAAATTAAAAATATGTATTTTTTCGGTAACGGAAGGACATTTTCGAAGGCTGAAATATTAGAAGTCACTGAAGCGAAACAAATTACGCAAAACATTAAAAACAAGTTTCAGTCAGTTTTTCAAGGCCAATACTTTCTCATGACAGAAACTGATGGCATTAGTACATATTTTTGTGTGTGTATTGGTAGAATACTTTCATATCACTTTTAATCACATTTTTAGGATTAAAACAGGATTATTATGTAATCCTATTTTTTGGTACCGAAATGTATCAAAAATAAAATTCCGACTTCAAATATTGAAAATATAGACTTTTAGCTTTCATTTGATGCCAAATTTGTTTAAGTCACATGTATTTGAATTTTTTGGTGTCATGTCCACTTTGGTGTGGAATTGCCCTGGATGTTGGCAATTTTCGAATCATTCTATATGTTTAATAAATTTGCAAGCTGAGGAGTGATGTTAAATCCATGTCGAATTGAATAACAAGTTCAATTTAAATGCAATTATTTATCAATCACTTTAATGTTTTCTATGAAAAACTGAATGTATTATTATTAACTTCCAAACTTCATCAGCTTACAACACATGTTAGGTTTTAGTAATTATTTCATACATTGTAAAATTCAGAATTGGATTGATTTGTTCCAACAGGATAATAGCCTGCATGAGGGGACTTTAGTCTCTAAAAAAGAACATGCTTATGAAATTAATTGATTTTTTTCTCAAACAAATAAAGTACTGCCCTGTGCATTTAAATTGGAAAATATTACAAGAGGTAGCACTAAGCACATAGGTAGGTAAATTGTTTAAACATCTAAATTCTCGTTTTTTTTAATTTGCACATACCAATACAAAAGGAAGAAACCAATTCATGTGTGTTTTCAAACTTTATCTGTAGCACTATTCTGTCATATGAAGAGGAATTTTCTTAAATTATTGCAAGAGGTTATGCGGCAGACTTGGGCAAGAGCATTAGAAACTATCAAATAGAAAAAAAAAAGAAAACGTTATTCATACAAAATTCTTCTGAATGATTCAATTGAACATTTCACGAGGTCAACCAAGAATCAACAGTATAGAATCTAAAATAATGTACAATACATGTATAGAACCTTAGTATTTCTCGAATGTAGAAGTTTCAAGATGAAAGGTATAAGATGTGGCAGAGGTTAAATTTCCATCACTTAAAAAGCCTTTACATATGTTGAACACTTACGGAAAGATACCAGTCACTCCAGAGCAACTTACTGTATTTGAACAACTATTGATCAACTGTTCCAATTTTGAAATATTTAACACAGTTCAAAGGTACGACTGAACGTGAAGGTGCATAGGCCCCAGGGTGTGTCCCTCCATCACCTCTTCTTTCAGGCACAAACTTGACAAGACATGAAAAACTCAACAAGCAGCAACATCCACCACCTTGCCATTACGAAGTTAGGACGTCGCTAGAAAAGACAAATAAAAGATATAATTATTGTTTTAGAATTGCAGGCTCCCCCACTCCAACCAACTCTTTGTTCATTGACACAAGCCAAATCACCCTCAAAAACGAAAATGTTAAAACCATAAAACAGAAAAATACATTCACAAACCATGCACAGTTTAAACAAAGTAACAACACGCTTGGTCATCATTTTATATGCTGCACTTGTGTACACAAAATCAATAGGACGATGCATTTTTAGTAAACTTGCACTTGTAAAGCCAAGCACTTGTTTTCCTGACATTTCAGCGATTATCAACCATACAACCCAGAACCCATATGTGATTTTACTTCAGAACCAGCACAATAATTGGTCGAAATATACTTAAACTGACAAAGAAAAGCACATTACCTGCGAAACTAAAAAAGCCTGTCTCCTCAACTGCTTTCTTTCAGTTCCATTTTGCCCATCACTGCACCTGTTGGACGAGAAAAAATGTAACTCTCAGAGACAAAAGTAAAAATCCATTGGGAAAAAAGGTAATTGAAGAGTGTAAACAAACACCAGTTATTATACAATGGATTGTGACGAAATTTTCTGCCAACATTTAATTAAGATATAGCCACAAATCTTGTTTTCATATTTTGCGAACTTTTTGAATGAACTGTCCTTTGTGTCTGTTGTTTTCACAAGTACAGTAACAAATTAATATTGTTTGACAAACAAAAGCACAATATTCTCTGAAAAGTATACCTTTGCATACTATAGGCTAGATCTGCTCACAGGCTCTCGCAAGCTCAAGACCTGAAAAATATGAACACGTGAATCATTAATTAACATAGCAAATAATCCCCAAAAGATAATGTTTCATCGAATTTCTTCAACAATAAGCAAATGTAAATGTAAATTCACCTTCAACAATGTATTGTTAGGGGAAATATTAAAAGTGATGGCAATAACCTGTTTTCAAGAGCTACATCTCTATTTAAGTGTTATTGACTTGAGAATAAAATAATCTGTAAAAGTGTTTT